ATAAGGTTTTGGGCAGTCAGAGGACAGGTAGGGGGTGGAGTCCTAGGGGGGCAGTTAGGATGGGGGGGGGTCCCATGAGAGGGCAGTCAGGGGACAAGGAGCGGGGGGGGGGATTGGGAGTTCTGAGGGGGGCAGTCGGGGGCGGGAAATGGGAGGGGCAGGGCTAGGGCAACATTTGATTGTTGAAATATGGTAACCCTATAGGGGGTGGAATTAAAAAGTGGTGGGTTGTGCCTTAACTTGCAAAACTTATCTGAAAAAAAAAAGGCAGTACATTGAAGATCTTTCTAAAATGTCTGTCTCTAGCTAACAGTGTCTTGAGTTATCTTTAACTTGGACTATAGCAGCTTACATAAGGCGGTATGCAACATTTATTCAAAGATGAACAAAACCTTTAAATTGCAATAACATGGTGTGAGACTGCTAAGCAAGTGTCACTTATAATGAAACCTCATTTATAATTCAGTAAAAATGAAATCTGTTATCTTTAATGCATTCCTATGGAGTTGTACTATTTTTATAATGAAACACAAATCTAGTTACAAGGAATTTTGGTCATTTGACGCTGACCAATCAGAATAGTTAATACTGCATTCACTACTCTTTTTATGTGCCTGTAGATTTTTTTGCTGTCATTGAAGGTCAGTAAAAGTAACCTGAGATCTATAATTATCACCTTAATCCAGTTTAAATTTCCAAAATGTTAGTAAAACATCTTTCTGGGGGCTGAGCAGAAAAATGACAAAGAATAAAAGTGTTCTTTTAAAAAAAAAAAATCAGAGAGAGCTTGTGAAATCATAAATAAATGATCAATGATCTGTAAATTTGGCACTGATGTGACCACTACTGGACTATTATGTCCACAATTTAAGGAGGATGTTGATAAACTGGAGAGGGTTTAGAGAAGAGCCACAAAAATTACTAAAGGATTGGAAAACATGCCATAAACTGATAGTGAGAGACTGTGAGCTCAATCTATTTAGCTTTACAAAGAGAAGGTTAAGGGGAGACTTAATCATATGTTGTAAGTACCAGCAGGGGGGAACAAAAATTTGATAATGGGTTGTTCAATCTAGCAGAGAAAAATATAATAAGATACAATGGCTAGAAGTTGAGGCTAGACAAATTCAGACTGGAAATAAGGTAAAAAAAATTTGAACACTTCTCAACCATAGGAACAATTTACCAAGGATTGTGGTGGATTCTCCATCACTGGCAATTTTTAAATCAAGTTGGATATTTTTCAAAAGGAATTAATTCACAGAAGTCCTGTGGCCTGTGGTATGCAAGAAACTAAATGATTACAGTGGTCCCCTCTGGCTTTATAATTTATAATCCATTTTTTTTCTTGCATATAGTCATCATTGTGTTGAAAACTGTAATTCAGACAGTAATAAAACTCTGCTACTAATGAAGTGATCTCTTCCCCAAAAACATTATTTGACTATAAGCAGGTTCCACTGCACATACAATACTGCCTCTAAGGATTTTCTTTACCTTCATAAAAATAGGCGATTGACTGCATTTTCACATTCTGTAAAAGGAGTGTGTGTTCTCAGTTCTTCTCACCAACCTTTTCACCATGTATGGAACTACTGCATGTATTCTGTGACTATAATTCTTATTTAAAATTTTACGTAGTAAAAAACAGTTGTATAATGGAAGATGGATGCTGCAGCAGCTGCAGTGTGAAGTGAGATTTTTGTTTTGTTTTGCCACACATAACTGACTAATATTACTTTGGTAAACTCCCTTCATTAATATAGATAGAGGCATGCTTTTCATCATACTAAAGTCCATAGTCTATCACAGTGGACTTTCAAACTGTTTGCAGCTTGGAGACAGGGTCAGACCAATCAACCTTCCTGCCAGTGACTATGCCCCTCCTCTGACGAGCCCACTAGTTTCATTTTTGCCTTCACAGAAATGGGTGCATGGTTCCAGGCCTTCCTGTCTTCAGAGCTTTTTAAAAAGACTTTTTTCCTATTTAAGGAACTAATTTGGCTATACATTCTCAAATTGTATTCCAGAATTACCTCCTTTTTGGCAAAGGGAATAGATTCCTTCCTTCCCAAAGATACTGTAGCAGTTGAAACCCCTGTTTACCTATATAGAATGCAGCATGGTGGGGAAAGCAAAAATGTGTGCCTCTTGTACCACTCCCTTCAGCTGTCTTAGTGGGGAGTTTTGCCTTGTCTGTGGGCAGGATCTAGGCTTTTCACAAGTTTAGAGCTCCTTAGCAGAAAGCTAACAGAATTCCCTTAGCACAGTAATTTTTGGCCCTACAGATATGTAGTCTGTCATGCACTACCCATGACAAACTACATATACCTCTGCCTAGGCCAGTTCCTTCTTGACCACTCCTAGAGAAGAAACTCCCTGCTGTGATTAGTCTTGTGTGGCTATTATAAGAACAGGCATATCTATTATACTTGTTAGCTAAATTCCTTATTAATTTGGCTGACACCTGGGTTTTGTGCTCTGTGACACCTAGCTTTGTGATGCAGTACATTTTCCAGTGCTTCGGGCTGTCCGCTTAGAGGGCCTCGATGTTCGGTTGCTGTGATGTTAGTGATTTGGTACATTTATTCTTGGCACACCTTTTCAGCATGCTTAATTTCTCTGCCACGTTGGGTATCCTGGATTTTACTCATCCATGCTTTAGCCTTCTTCGCCTTATCATATATTCCTTATGTGGCTGATGCACCTGGCTCAACCAGGCCCATGTGGCCAGTGGCAGCTGTAGAAGGTCTTTGCCTGGTTGATTTTCCTCCAAAGAGCATTACCAGGAACTCAGAGAAATTATCCATTAGGGTGTAGATTTTGCCTTATGTCAGGTGTGAGCACCCTTTAATGCAGGGTATGGCTGCAAACGCTGCTACTCTAAATGGATTCCTTCAGCTTGGCTGCAGACATCTAATTTGCAGCAGGAGAAATTCAAGGACGTGCTATATGCCAAAGAGAACCTGTTTGGGGAGCAGATGCAAGCCTCTTTACAGAGAGATAAAATAACATACACACTAGTGTCTTGGGCCTGTGTCGTATCCCTTGTGGTCCTCATTTAAAAAATGCAAAGGAAAAGTTTCTCTTTTTATAAGCCATCTACAACTGATTTCAAAGGATCCCAACTCCAGGGTGGTCACCTCATCAGCTGCAGAAGTTGACTGGTTCTAAGCCCAGTTCCTACAAGCAGCAAAAGCTGTAGGGTTCCAGAATGTGTACCCTATGTGCTACTTTCAGTATCCTGCCAGGATATCCCCGCTAGGAGCAAACTTAAAAGCTTTTTACACCTAGTTGTCCCTGGCCACCTTGGACATATGGTGCAAGTTCAGTTCGGTGAAGCAACTAAATCAGGCTTTCAGGAATACTCCCAAGAATGATCTCTGTCTTCTAAGTATCGGGGAAAAATGCTTCAGGAAATCCAGTCCCTCCTGGCAAAGACCGTCATCAATTTGTGCCACGTCGTGAAAAAGGAAATGGATTTTATTCTAAGTACTTCCTGATAAGCAAAAAAGCCAGGAGGACCCTGACCCTTCCAGGATCTCAAGGAATTAAATCAGTATCTGGTCAGAGAAAAAAATCTGAGCTAAGGGAGTTGTATAGGCTTTGTGATAAGAAGTGCTAACACAAGAATCAGAGTCCAGTGTAATGATGTCTTCAGAGAAGCAGAACTACAGATAAGTAGTCTTCCCTTTTAGCCAAAATTAAGTAGCAAAATTAGGAATTTGCATTTAAAAGTGCTACCAAAACCCCTACATGTGTCTCCATTAACTGGATTGAATTATTTCACCTCAGTGTTTTAGGTGCATAGTCATTTGTATGAAAGGATTTTTATGCCTTCATCTTCAGTTTCTAAACTTCCCCCAAATTGGTAGTTTTATTTTCCCTATCATTATAGATATTTTAGTAGTGCCGTCCATACCAGCATACAAGAGACTGACTCAAATATTGAAATTGCAACTTGTCACAATTTTTTTTTTCTTTTGTTTCACAGCCAAAGGGAGAGAATATTTTAGGGGACATGAATCCTTGGAATTACTAAATATTTTTTCCCTTTTATTTTTATATCTCTTGTTTCCTAGATGCACGTGAAAGCACATTTTGACTATGATCCTTCTGATGATCCTTATGTACCTTGCCGAGAGTTAGGTCTGTCTTTTCAAAAGGGAGATATACTCCATGTGATCAGCCAAGAAGATCCAAACTGGTGGCAGGCCTACCGAGATGGAGATGAAGACAATCAGCCTTTGGCAGGCCTTATCCCAGGTACAGTGCAATGTAACCAAAAACACAGATGTGCAGAAGTTTTGAGGTGCCATTGTTTGGAATACAAGCCACTACAGCAAGTGAAAAAGTCTTGAAAGAGACTTTTATATCCTGGAGTTTGGCTGGTTAAATGTCCATCTGTTGCTTGAATTTCTTTTGAGCAGAGAGAACCACTATGATGGTTTTATGATATAGAAATTAATTTACAGGTTCAAAAATAGTTACCTATTTCTTTCAAGCAGGTGTTAATTTTCTCATAGATAGGCATCCACTGGTATATCTGCCAATCACAGATTAGACCTGATCATTCCACCAGTTTCTTCTTTTTTCCCTTTGAGTTCAAATTTCCTCTGCTGTCTGCTACAGCAACACTTGCACTTTAACCCCAGTTTACTCTTCCGCACTCTGAGAAAGCAAATTTAGGCTCAGTAAATACAGAGAGCAGTAGATGGAGAAATTCCTCTTTCAAACTGCTGGGAGCCTCAGATTAATTGGATTTTCAATCATTGGAACCAGTGTTCACCTTCCATTGTGGAGCATCAGCAAGAGTTATTTATTAAGGTCTTATCTGTTACACCCATGCAATGCAAATCCATTGGCAGCAATATGGTGAACAAGAAATAATTTCGAAGACAGGTGTTTCACAAGGGTGACTTCATTACTTTGTGATGTTTGCATGAGATGAAAAGGAACCCAGTTTGATTCTTTAAGTCCAGGCTGATTTTGCAGGGCTGGAATTTATTTGGGGAAAAAAACACAACACATTTTTTACTTGCAAACTGAGCATATTTAATATGAAAATCATTGAGAAACAATGCCATTCTTCTATAATCGCTCTTCAAAACAGAATTGCTCAGAGTGATACTAAGGATACACTCCTCTTCCTTGAGAGGTATATGTTGGGAATGCTACAGCAGGGGTTTTCAAACTGGGGGTTGGGATCCCTCAGGGCTCGTAAGGCTATTACCTGGGGGGTCGTGAGCTGTCAGCCTACCAAGCCCTGCTTTGCCTCCAGCATTTATAATGGTGTTAAACATATAAAAAAGTGTTTTTAATTTATGGTGGGGGAGGGGGTCACACTCAGAGGCTTGCTATGTGAAAGGGGTCACCAGTACAAAAGTTTGAGAATCACTGCGCTACAGTGAATGACAGTTTTCTAAATAACTTTCTCCTTTTATAAGTGTTTGCATGGTACTTCTCAGAGATGAATCCTTCCATTTAAGAATCATAGACGTTAAAGATGGAAAAATCGTATTGGATCATCTAGTCCCTGTCCAAATATCCCTTATTTTGAAGGATTACACTTTAGTCAGTTACCTACGTTCCACACAAATTCACCATCTCCTTACTTTCATTGTTTAAAATTATATACATTAACTGTAGTAATGGAACTGAGATTATAGAAAGTTATTTACCCTAAAAGAATGAATTCCATAGATTTAAGTTTCATGTATGACACATTGTCCCTCATTTTGGATCTTTGTCACACAGTGTGTATCACTTGGGCCTTGGCAGATTGAGAGGTATGATAATGTAGCTGTGTAATTCTGAGAAATTAGTTAAAGATAACTGGCATCTCGCCTGTCAAAGGAAATAGACATTGTTTCCCAATGCCAACTGCTTTTATGTACCTTTTTTGTACATTAAGGAAAGAGCTTTCAACAGCAAAGAGAAGCAATGAAGCAAACCATAGAAGAAGACAAGGAGCCAGAGAAATCAGGTTGGATATATATTCTAAAGAAAATTTCTTCTGTTGTACCAATGTTAATTCAAGTGGTGTCTCTGATGTTTTGGTATCAAAGGCCCTTTCACATGTTTTTTCATATGCACGCTTTTTTGTACAGCGTGGCTTCTTTCAATGTTATGCTCTACCAGCTCCATAATGGATTTTAACTTTGCCCTGAACTTAGATACCAGTTCAATTACAGGTTGCCCTTCTGGGTCATTGTTCCCTTCCCATGAATCTGACCAGATCTAGTGGGCCCTCTGATCTTTCTTCTGTATAAGAAATTGAAGAGGGAAACAAACAATAGGTAAAGCAATAGCATGTCCCAGTCCCCTGCCTTTCTATGTACGTACACTGTTAGCATGAATTTGAGTGTCCCATTAAATCTTTCAACCCATTTGTTTCTGGGAGATATGGGGTAGACTTTAATTGTTTTAGCCCACACCTTTTAAACAGTTGAAAGAATATGTGGGATGTGAAATTGGACCCATGAACTGGCAGTATTTCTTTTGGGGGAAAAAACCACTCTAACAACTTTGAAAATGAGTGCAATTGCAGACCCTATATTTCTTTTCTAGTATCGACTGACTTATTAACAACTCAGAAGAGAGTGGCAGAATTGTAATCCTTGTAGTTCTCTTCCCCCTTCTCCCCCCTCCCCCACTGAGCCCCAACCACCTTCACCTGGACCCCCCTGCAGAGTCCCATTACCATTGGACCCAGAATCCCCCAACAAGCCCCTGTGAATCCAGGTCCCCCTTGTACCCAGATCCCCCACTGAGCTTCCTGCACCCAGATTGCCCCACACCCCCTCCACACTTGGATCCTGCCTTGCTGAGCCTGCCTGCCCACATGGAGGGGCAGGGCCGTGGGGTGATTCTGGAGCAGGCTCAGTCCTTGTGCTGTGTTGGAGTGGGTGCAGCCTCACCACTGAATTTGTTTCCTGGGGGGAATGAGGGGGGAGGAGCTGCATAGTGATTTCCCACCTCTGTGCAGCCAGTGGCCTGTGCTCCCCACTGCCATGCGGGAGCCTCCACATTTATTTGACAAATTTATTTTTTTGGCACAGAATGACCTCAGGAGTACCTATCCCCACCCTCTGGCTATCAGGAATTGAAAGAAAGGGAGATGGGTTTCAAGAAGGTCACAGCAGGCAGGCAGGCACCACCTACTTAATGGTTAATATGCCATTAAAACTACAGAACTACTGTGTTGGGAACATCTCTGAGACCGGGCAAAGCGCGCAATGAGTTTACATGCTACTCCCTTATCCACTGTTGCCCCCATTCCCCCTTCTGTTCAGATGGGGGGGAGGCACATGGGGGAGCTGATCTCCTGTGCACCTGCCTGGAACCAAGCGAGTGAAGCTTCTGAGCCAGGGGAGCAGGGAGGACCCTTACCTGCTGATCAGGAAAGGGGACACAATTTAAAGGTCCCCCTGCGCCCCCCCAACAGCTTAAGTCACTCCTCCCCCTTCCCAGGCAGCCTCCCCCTTACCCTCAGTTCCCCTGTGGGAAAGCAGCTGTTCCTCTACTACCTCTCCTTGCAGAGCTGAAGCAGCAGCCCCTCCCTATAGCTTCCAGCTATTTGTTTGCCTCTCCACAGGGGAGAGGGAGAAGGCTCGTCAGGCAAACCCTGACAGAAAACTGGGGGGGAGGGTGGTATGTGACCCCGCTTCCCTGCAGAGGGGGGCATGCAATGGGCTGGGATGGGAGCAGGCTATAGTGCCCCTGGTTAGCCTGGTGCTCACCTATGCAGAGTTAAGTGTGTGCTCCTGCTGACAGTGCTGGTGGAAAGAGCAAGCCCTTTTCTGGACAAGTGGGGCAGGCTCTTAGGGGATGTTAGTACAGCAGGCCCACCCCCACCACAACCTAAATAGCAGGGAGGCTGCTCCAAGCCCCCATCTGGAACACAGGCAAGCTGCTGGCACACACATCCCTTCCCCTCCCCCTCTGCTCAACCTCAGCCACCCATCCCAGAGCTCCGATCAGGAGCTTCTTCAAGCGCAGCTCCACTCGCCATGGCTTCTAACACAGGGAGCCCTCTGTCCAGGGAGAGTGGGGAGCCCTTGAAACCCACCTCTGCTGCCTCACCGTAGGAGTTACCTGACTGACTGTCTAGTCAAGCTGCAGCTTGGGGCTGCCCTCTCCAGCAATGTCTCTCTCTCTCCCTGGCTGGCTGGCTGCCTCCCTAAGCCCAGGTGGCTCTTGATCTGCAGGTCAGGTCAGGTGGGAGGTATCAAAGGCGCCTCCTTCAGTACACTGCCCTGGGCGATTGCCCTGAGTGCCCTGGTCACAGGCTGACCCTGCAGGCCAATGTGGTGAAAACCTGGGGTGCCGTTATAAGCAGGGCACCTTTGGAGCAGGGGCATCCCCTCCTCCTCCTCCACCCCCCTCCGCACTGCTCTGCTGTTGTGCTGCTCCTGCTCCCTGCCTTGGAGCCAGCCCTGACCAGGTGCTCCTGGGAGCTTTCCTGTCTGCTGGGGAGAGGGGGGATGCTGATGTCAGAGTGTCCTCCCCACCCTTGCCCATGTACCCCATCTCCACAGAGTGGGGGGGGGAGGGGACAGGGTTCAGGAGTGAGATGATTTAGGAGTGAGACTGTGTGTGTGTGTGTGTGTGTGTGTGTCTCACTCTCACACACACACACACACATATTTGTATTATTGTTATTACTTCTTGGTATTTCCTGCAATGCACGTAGTCTCCGTAATTTTATTCTTTCAAAGTTAAGGATTAGACTGCTATTCTTTCAGTTTTTTGACTGGTGTGTGCATTTCATAATTTTATTTCTCTCATCTTTACATTTAATTCTTTGAGTAGTGAGTTCTAAAATGCCTAACCTGTCCTGGCTGGAGTAATTATCATTATTACTTTTATTATCATATTGTGCTTTGTCATTCGTTATTTAAAGTGGTACAGTCAAATAATAGTATCCTTCTATAATGTAAATTTAGCTTGTACTAACAGTGCCAGTTTAAAAAACATAAGCTAAACACATAACTTTAGACACTGGGCAGATGAAGGTTGCTTATTTTCAAATTATATTTTTAGTTGTATCTGTAAAATAACTTAAAATTTGCATGAAAGTAAATGCAGTTCCAACTGTGATACCAATAGCAATGATGGAGTCAAGTGCTGGTGAGTCATGTACATTATTATGATCAGTAAACATAAATGCCAAAATCATTAGAAAAACAAATTCCCTTTCTTAATAAAAGGGGGGGGGGGAAAACCTTAATCCCATATGTTAAAATTAAGTATGTTTTTAGTGGAATGAAAAACAACTGACTAAAATAGAGTAGATAATGGCAGTAACACAGTGTGTGTCTGTTTGAGAAAGTAAGCAGATTTTATTTCTTTTTATTTATCTTTACGAAATATAGTGTACGAAGTATCAACCATGGGTTTCTGATGTGTGAAAGCTCCAGAACTGATACCTCAAGGCTTGGGATTGGGAATATTTTGCTGTATTATTTCCTGATCTTTTACATATGAACTTTAAATGTGGCTTTAATTGGAGTTTATCTTTTTTTTTCCTTTTATATAGCAGTTAGCTGACAGGAGCATTATATCTAACTCCTAAGTTATCTATATTAAAAAAAAAAGCTAGAGTTGTTAGATGCCTAAGTAGTTGCTGGAATCACGGTTAAAGTTTCCTCCCACCCTCTAAAATCTGAAATGGTGCCCTGGTGAGCCAGGAGTGGCCAGAGGGCTGCAGGAAGGCCATGGGCTCTTGCAAGATGCCACCCTTAATTCTACGTTGCTGCTGACGGTGGCGTTGCTATCAGAGCTGGGCACCCGGCCAGCACCCACCGGTATCAGGCTGTCCTGCCACTGCTTAAATTGGGCCAGGGCTGATCTCTGTCATCTCTTTCAATTCAAATTAAATACTGGGGGAGGCAGTGGGGCCCAGAGGTGATGGAAGGGGGGAGCCTGTGGGAACCAGGGATGATGGATGTGGATCCACAAAATACAAGTGTGCCCAGGGTGCCATTTTCACTAAGGCCGGCCCTGGATATAGTTGAAGTTGTAGTACAGGTCATGAATGCATTTTTCTATGTACCTAAATATGTAGATTCATAACCACAATTTGTAGATATGTCCTAATGAGCATTAAGTTCAGAACATGACACGGTTTCATAAAAGACCTTACTCGATACGCTTTTACAGTACCATAATACAGTATGCAGTCAGTTGGTTCAACTGCTCATTTTTGGGGTTTAAATCTTCTGTTCTCTCCTTGGAGTGTCTGGACTCTGATTGTCACAGGGACTCTGGAGCCTTGTCTACATACAGAATTTTAGGAAATTCTTCCACCTCTTGATCTAGCACAGATGGGATAATTCTCTGAAATTCTTAATGTAGGCAAGAAGTTTGTGTAGGAACTTGTTAATACTTAAATGGTGTTCTCATAGCACATGCAGATCTCATTGGAGTAATTCAAGAGCTGCAGGAGATGAGCCTCTCGTTCTCTCTGAGAGGAATTTCATCCACCATCCCTCAGTTGCTAAAATAGTGACAGAGGTGGGTTAGAAGAAAACTTCTAAAGATCTGTGTACTCTGAGACCACCTTAACTAGACACGGGTGGATAAAGTCTGGTCAAAGCAACAAAGAGGAGGTTCTTATCAACTGTCTTGTATGAACTCGCAGGGAGATAAGGGATATTAAGGCAGTCAGAGAGTAAGAGTTTATAATAGTCAAGACACAAAATAAGAGTGTATGTATGGTCAAGAGTTTTTAACAGTAAAGCCCTAACAGAAAGGATGGCCCTTGGAAATGTGGAAGAAATAGTAGGAGTATTTTATGTACTGGATGTATTAGGTAAGAGAGCAAGAAGAGTTAGATGATCTCAGGTTATGAGTCTGAGCAATGCAGGAGGCTCTTGATATCGTGTTGTAGGAGTTAGATTAATCTAATGCTACATATCTATAATCTATAGAAACTTATATTTCTTAATTTACTTAAAATACAGGTAAAATATGTAAAAAGACAAAATGTATCCTACCATCTGTAAGTACACAGACAGAAAAAAGAAGCTTTGTTTTTATGTACAGGCGTTTCTGATTCTAGTGATTTTTAATTTGACTTTCAGGAAAACTCTGGTGTGCAAAGAAAAATAAAAAGAAACGGAAAAAAGTTTTGTACAATGCCAATAAAAATGACGGTAAGTAGTAATAACCCTGCTGTGAACTGTATGCCAGTTTTAGAATTATCTAGTTAAAATGGCTGAACATTCTTTACCTTGCTATAACAATGACAAACCCATTTCTTATTATGTGCTACATAAAGCTTGTCCCTGCTATTTCTTATTGAATGTTGTATGCATATTCAATACGAGACTGAAACAGTGTCCCCAGAAAGTTCTTTCCAGTGGAGTTCTATATACAAAAGTACCTTTGGGATTCATGATAAATGCAAATTAGATGTATGACAAAGTCTGAAAAAAAATTGAATTTTGGTTATAAATATAAATGCCAAGAAATAATTGCTGAATTACTATTTCTTTGTTAGAAACCTAATTTATAAACATATCAGCAGATTTGTTCCCCAAACCCATGCCAATAGGGCCTGGCAGAACACTTTCTTCTGACAGGAAGAGGAATGTATTTTATTGCTGAATAGCACAATCCTGGAAAAATAAACAGAGGCAATAAGATTTCTCCAATTCTCAGCCACAAGGCTGATATACCGGTCAGAGGGACTCAAGAGTGAGAAGAGCACAGCGAGAAGGGAAGAGAGATGGGTTTCCCTAAGCTCCTTACATTGTGTGTCAGGCTCACACTGCAGTTAATACTGCCATATAGTAGTAATGTTGTTGTACCCATGTTGGTACCAGGATATGAGAGAGACAAGATGGCTAAGGTAGTATCTTTTATTGGACCAACTTGTGTTGGTGGAAAAGAGAAGTTTTTGAATGCCACAGAGACCACTTAAAATGAAGTGGGCAATTAACATCTCTGCAGTCATAGGACAAATGAGTTAGTAGATTAAAAATTGTTGTAGTGAGCCATAAAAACAGTGTCTCCATTGAGTCCATGATATTTAGTGTCTAGTAGAGTTGTGAATTCAAATTCCCAGCCTCCTCTTTTGAAGGGGTTTTGTAGGTTTTCTTGGAGACAAAGACTGAGAGATCGGGGATGGAGTGATTGCTTTGTGAAAAGTTTTCACCCACAGGTAATAGGATGTTTGTCTTTTTAGCATATTTCTGTGAGAGTTTATTTGAGAGGATAGATAGTTGTTGCTGGGGCATTTGATGCACTGATGAGGTACACCGCATGTTGTGATTGGCATATTAGGACCCATAGATCTTGAAAGGTGTGTTGTGGGGGGTATTAATCATCGTAACCATAGAAATAGGTCTGCAGGTTTTGCATCTGTTGGTCTGACAGGGTCTGGTGCTGCTTGAGTTAGTGTATCCTGGTCTGTGGAAAACTTGCTTCTGATGAGCTTAGAAAGGCTGGGGGTATGAGTTGTAATTGTTTGATGATACCCCATATGGAGTAGACTTGTGTGGGGTTTGTTTGTTTTCCTGTACTGAAGCAGTTTCTCTTGAGCATATTCTGTAGTATCTTAGTGCCTGGTTGTAGATAAGATTCCTCCTTGTATCTGGGATGGTTAATGGATCTGTGGAAGTAAGTGTGATGATCCATGGGTTTCTTGTTTCATTTTAAGTGATCTCCTGCAATGTGTTAACCCCTTACGCTTAACAGTCTGTCCCATCTTCTATTTAGCTCTGACACTCTGGTTACCTTTTCCACACCTGAAGAAGAGGTCTGTGAGAGTTGGTTCAATAAAATAGTATCTCACCCACCTTGTCTTTGTCATGTAGTAATAACATCAGTCATGTATGTATCTGGTTGTCTGTTTTAAATAATGTTTCTCATGAGTTTTGTTTTGTTTGTTTTTCTCTCTGAAGATTATGACAATGAAGAAATTTTAACCTATGAGGAAATGTCACTGTATCACCAGCCAGCAAATAGGAAAAGGCCCATTGTCCTGATTGGCCCACAGAACTGCGGCCAGAATGAACTACGTCAGAGACTAATGAATAATGAAGTAGATCGCTTTGCAGCTGCAGTTCCTCGTAAGTTTGAGGGGAGTATGTGACACACCGGGGTACAATTCAGACTAGTGGAGGGCTGTCACCCCTGCCCTGCAACCTTGGGTGCCTTACAATGCATTGCTGATGTAGTTCCCTCCTGGGCCCCTCACAAACAGCCTTCTAGCATGCAAGCCACATCCTGAGTGTCCGTGTGGAACTGCAGCCTTCCAGTTACACCCTGGCTCTCAGCAGCCTCTGTTATACTGATGCCAACACACTTCCAGTCATGGATTTTCCCCAGAAATGTACTGCCTAGCCTTCTCCTGGATGGTATAAATATATTAAGTCCATTATTCCTTTAAGGGAATAATATGCCATTTTATTACCTTAAATAGTTAGTGTGTGTTTAAATTGAAGTGTCTGGGTATTAGATGAAACAAGTTTACCAACTACAAAGAGAGATTTTAAGTGAATATAAGTAATGCATAAAAGTTAGAAATGGTTAAAGAAAAATAAAGATGAAAATGCTTACTAGTAAGAAACTATCTTAGTTGCAAAGCAAACTTTCTCACCACATGCTCCAGTAGATTACTGACCATTTTCAGGTCAGAGCCCCTCCCCAAAGTCCAACAGCTGGTTTCCTTTTGTCTTCTCAGGTGCAGAAAAAGAGATGTGCAGGGAGGGGGGGAGAGGGGTCCCTTCGGGTGTTTGTCCCTGCTTTTCATAGTTCCAGTCCCCTTCTTGAAACCTATATCCAGCTGAGAACTAGGAGACACAGACTCTGTGTGGAAGAATATTCCCTACTGGGGTTTTTTCTTTTCTTTCCTGTTTGAACTTCCTTTGTTTTCCCTTCCTGCTTGATGACTCTGTTTACTGCTTAAATGCAAATAAAGGTAAGCACATGTTCCTTCATTTAGGACAGACCTATTTGCCAACTTTTGCTTGGGCAGGGCTGTGTGATTTGGAACATTTGTACAGAAAAGTCTTAAAGCTTCACATACAGTGTTGCCACATATATTTTATTAGGACAATACTGACCAGCAAATTGAGTTTTCAAATGATACCTTACATGGCATACCTTGTACAAAGATTATTACAGTAGTTTGTAGGGTGTGAATACAGGGGTGTGTTCCATCAGACTGTATAACCACCAGCCTACATATACCCTACACCCAGATCACCTCAGGCTATGATCTTAGTGAATATTGCAAGCTAAGCATGGTAAGATCAGTTCTGAGTTAGAGGATCAGTAAAGATAACCTTTGTGTGCAGAAAGTAGCTTTGATAAGTCAGTACTGGAATGGTGCCATAACATGGTGTTAGGTGCTGCTGGAAGTGCTTTTTTTTTTTTCTTCTCCCAGATGGGACATAAAATTGGGACACTTACAGTAGTCAAAAATCCCATGGAACACTTCACAATAGTAAGTGATTTTAACATGGGGGTCCTGGCTAAATTCAAATTTGGGATGATTATACTGTGCTTTCCTAACTTCCCCCTGCAGTTTCCATTGAATATGATATTCTCCACTACGTGTCCTGAATTATGTTGCTGTGTGTTGTTAAACAGCTGGAGCTTTCCATCCAAAGTGGCTGCATAGTGAAGGGATTTCTTTTCTAGTTGGTAAAGAGTTTCCAGATCATTCTGGGTGAAAAATCACTAAATGCAAGATCAGTATCATACAATTGACATAGACTAATCTGTTTAAAGATATTTATTTTTGAAAAGAGAATAGCTGCCCTTTTGTCTAATTGGATATTGCATTGTACTATAACCTGAAAAGGGGTATTACTCCTGAACCATTTGGAATTTGAGAAGTACACAATTTTTTCTCAACGTCAGTTTGGCTGTTGTTAATTTCAGATACCACTCGGAGTAGGCGAGAGAATGAAGTAGCTGGCAGAGATTACCATTTCATCTCACGGCAGGCATTTGAGACTGACATAGCTGCAGGGAAATTTATTGAGCATGGCGAGTTTGAGAAGAATCTGTATGGTACCAGCATAGACTCTGTGCGGCAAGTCATCAACTCTGGCAAGATATGCCTTTTAAATCTCCATACACAGGTATTACATTTAATTGCAGTAGTTGTTATGAAAACTGAACATGTTAATGAAGGAACTACATCTGGTATTAGTAAAACCACATTGGTGGCCTGTGTGAAACGAACACCTGGTCACAATCCATTTCCTATTAATCTGTTTGCAGCCTGTTCAATCCCTAGGGCAGCCCCTTTTATATATTGTTCAGGCATTCTGGCAGATAAAGTATAGGAAGCTTGTATATCTGCAGCCTGATCCATATCTGTTCTGTAGATAAATAGTACTTGTGAAAAGTGCTCTGGAAACTGAAGCCCTAAGTACTTTTAACCTTTTTAAGGAGTGTTGATAATGCCCACCTTCCCCCACTGCCTTGGAATGCTCTTACTGTCTGGACTCTGAAATCTTGCAGATGGTGGAGTAGTTTGGGGACGGTACCTCTCTTTTCAAACTAAGGCACTGATTAGCAAGGGAGTGCTCATGCAGTCCCCAGAAGGAACAGCTCTAGCAGGTGGAATATACAGCAATACTTTTAATCAACTCCAGTTTCTGCTATGACCTCTTTTTAGCCTTTGCTACCTTGTAAAATTACAGCAAAGGCTGTAAAACATTATGAGCCCTCCTGTCATTGTTCCACAGAGGGCAATGAGTTTGCATCACTTCACTGTTTGTGTGTGTTGACCCGGGGATAAATGCAGGTGAAATAGGATTGATAGCGTGAATGCTCAATAACATACCATCTAAACATGGGCCTGTGCTAGTGCTTTAATTGCATGTGGAATAAATCTGTGTAGTTGAGACCCTTGACTTAAGTGAAAGTTGAAGGAAGGGTGTTCTGTACTTTGCGGGATCAAGCTTTTTTCATTCTAAACATATTTTGAAACATGGTAAAACTCAGCTCAAGTTGAAACTCAGCATGCAGTTTAGAGGGGAAACTTTCATCAAATGCTTGGAAAGGGGGGTGGGGTTTCCTCCAATTAAATGAAAATAACTTTAAAAGAAAAACTATTTAAAACAAAAATCTAGTGGTTTTGAAATTCAGAATTTTTTTCACTCCTGAAATTCATATGCTGGTGGGATTTATTTCAGAGAGACAAACGTGGGTAGGTGCTCACTACGGTGATGAGTGCAGTATAAGAACTTGTATAGAGTAGAATAATTGATCTGTAATGTGACTGAATATTTTGTGCTGGTTTGGTTCAGGGGGAAATTAATTTGCAATAGCCAAGGAGTTATGATTAGCAAAGTACTTACTTCACTTGTCTAGTAATTAACTACTTTAAGAAATAACATTTATTTTTCAAGAATCTACCAAGGGATATTTAAGGTGGTATAAAATTAGAGCTGGCTGGAAATTTTCCAATGAAACAGTTCCATTGTAAAATGCCAATTTGTCAAACCCAAAATACTTTGTGAAAACCTCTCAGGTTAGGTAAGTTGTTGGCGACTCAAAGGCAAGGTTCTGATGGAGCCATGGGAAACCTGCCGGCTTGCCGGTCCACTAGGGAGCCAGGGTATTAGAAGTTCAGTGGCTCTGGGACAGCTCCAGCCTATGAGCTGCCACAGGCCTGAGGACCTGGTCTTGCAGGTTCCATGGCTCTGGTGCAGGCAGACATGCCAAACTTCCATGCTCCCTGTCTTGAAGCTGGGAGCCTGAAACCCATAGGAGCTCCAGCTCTAACCAGGGCTTGACTCCCAGCTCTACTGAAGGGAGCCTGGAAGACCTTAGAACACCTATTAACGCTGGGGCTCTCAGGCCTTCCAAGCTCCCTGTTGCTGAACCTGGAAGACCTGGGATTCGCTCCCAGGATGTGCAGCTCTGGGTCTGCTCTACCATGCAGACTGCCCCAGGCTGGGGAGGTCCACATGGCAGGGCTGCCCCAGAAACACAGACCCCACTACTCTAATAGCTGCTAAGTGAAATTGACATTCTTGTTGGTTTCACTCAGCCACTGTCAGGGTACTGGGGAGCAGATTTCATTTAGAAAACACCATATATCGGTCTTTCTGATTCATGAAATATTTTGGGGATTTCTAATTCACTAGAAACTTTGAAACAACTTGAATTAATTCCAATTTGGAACAAAACCAAATTTAGAAAAAGCAAAACTTCCTGCAAATCAGAAATCCCATTTTTGGTCAGCTCTATGTACAGTAACCAGAGCACATACTTTATTTAATAACAGGTAAAACTGCACATTAGAATTTAACTTTTAGTAAAACCAAAAGGATTTGCCAGGGCATTTTTATAGTCTTGTTATGCCAGCCACAGTATCACATATAATTGTCCTGTATTTGTTAAGCCCGTGTGTAAAATAGCAATTAGATAATCAAATACAAATAGTGGAAAATCACATTGGTGTAGTTACAAAAGAATTACTTAAATGATTTCCATTATTTGTTTTTAACTATATACATTACACTGACTGTGCATTCCAATGTGGGTAGTGTAATACTTCATATTTCTCTAGAATGGTCCATGAGAGAATCTCAAAACACATAATTAAAAATTAATTACACTTCTTAACACACACTGTGAGGCTGGTAAGTGATCTTATTTTGAAAATGAGGAAGCTGAGTCACAGAGAGGTGATGACTTCTCCAGGGTCACAAAAAAGGAAGTCCTTGAAGAGCCAGAAATAGAATCCAGTCCTCCTGACTCCCTGTCCTGTGATCTTGCCACAAAACTATGCAAAATGGATGGTTAGCACATCACTAATGCACTTGGTGTGTCTTGGTAAGATAAACTGAGAGGATAACAAGTTTGTTTTTCGAATTTTAAGGTTAATACTGTGTGTGGAATTTTTAACAGTATGTAACAGAACACATTATATACTGGTTCTCAGTTGTATATGGAGAAATTGCAACTGTAGTTTAAGACTGTTTGTACTTTGGACACTGAAAGAAGTTTAATTAGTCTGAGTTCATATATTTAGTTTCTGCCACTCCAACTTTGTTGAACAGTTGACCTACTTTTCTGTTAAGAACTCTGAGCAAGAGTAAATGTTGAGGTTCCCATAAGCAATAAAAAAAAAGTTGTAATACCAATTGCCTAGGAAAAGGTGAATGGCACCAGAGTTAGTGATGATTAACAATGCCACATAGCCAGACAATAATGCTGCTATTAAGGAATGTCACAACTTTAAATAAACTCTTTAAATTTATACTGAGTTACCTTAGCATTTGAGAACATTATGTGAACAGTGCATCTATACTTTTCCTTTACCAATATTAATGAGATTGAAATAATAAATGGAACATTTTCTTCTTCAGTCATTGAAGACCCTACGCAATTCAGACTTGAAACCATATATTATCTTCATTGCACCACCTTCGCAAGAGCGGCTACGTGCTTTATTGGCCAAAGAGGGTAAAAATCCAAAGGTAATTTAACATTTCTTAGTAAGTGGGTTTTGTTTACAAGTCTGGAGCTCTTTTGATAAAGACAACTCCAAAGAGTTTGGCATAAAAATATTAAGCATTATTACTGCAATCTAAAAATATGTAATATGAAAGATGTTAGGCCCAGAGAATTAAATTTAATTATTTAACTTTAGGAACTTATGCCTCATTGAGTGGGTGCATTATGTGGGAAGAGAGCATTCTAGTGCTGGTCTAGCATGTAGTTCTACGGTATATTTCTCTTTCCTGTCCTTTTCCTTTAAAAACAAAAATCTAAATCAAAACAAATTAAGTAGTGTTTTTTTTAATTGTTACAACATGTCTCATTTACTGCATACTATCCAGCCTGTAACACTTGGTGGCTTTGAGCAACTGACAGTGACATTCTTTTGGGCTTGAAGATCTGCTTTTTAACTTGGGATCAGTTGCTGCTTTAGTGCTTTTACTCCATGCATGCCAAAGAGTCAAGGGTCAAGCTTTGAAGTGCTTAACTTCAGAGCTATGGTGAGCCACCAGTTAAAAATACTTGAATGGGCCAGCAAGTGGGCTTCAACTATTATTTTCATACTTAAAATTTAAAGAATAAAAAACTAGCAAAGTGTGCAAAGGAAAACAAGAAAAGATTTAAAATACAACAATGTCTCATACAGGACAAGTGTACATTGCTGCTTCAGTTCTAACCACCTCTATACCCTTCTCCTTTTCTCACACCACTGTTCACTCTTCTGCCACTTTTCTCTGTGGGTTTGTCTTCCCTAGAAAACCAGCTTGTGTTAGAAGACAACCTCGAGCAGTTGTGTTATCTAATGTAGTTTTAAAGACAGTGTTTTGGTCAGTGTAGATCAGGGTCATGAGTAAACATTACTAGAGCCATATATTTCTGAAGAGCAGCTGGCATGGAGTTGAACACTACAGCGATGGACTCATGACATTGGAAGTAATTTCACCAGTCTTATAGTACAATTAACTTGCATAATTTGTGTGCCTCAATCCTATTGGTTAAAAATGCCTTAGATGTTTTGAGTTTGAAATCCTTTTTTATTACAAACCTAATCTTAGCTTCCTAAGGTGGGTTCCCCCCCACCCCCCAATCTGGCTGCATATATTCAAATGTCAAATCATATCTGAACTGCAGAAGTAGTTTGCTGAACAGATATGCAGACTGGATGCTATTTTGTAGAATATAAACACGTTTGAAAGCATTTGTAGTTTGTGTTAAGGCAAACATACTCTGAGTCTTTAGGCAAAGACTGTTCAGTAATTTTGCTACAATAATATACCAGTCACTGAGAAATATCTTAATGTATTAATTCAGAATCCGAGCTGCAATAGAAAACACCCAGCACATGCCACTGAACAAAGGGATCAGTGTGTGGCACACCAATTGCATGACATTCCTGAATTAAAATTAGAGCGCAAACTAAGTGTTTTACTAGCAGTTTATTGTTTTGGAAGCTCAGTAAAATTAAGATTGTGGGAAAAACCCAAAGCTCCAAGCCCCATTAATTCATGTTAATATCTGTTTTGGTTAATTTTAATGGTAATAAAGGGTATACAAAAAATAAAAATAATAAACTGATTTTAATTAAGAATATTCTGTATGTATGGGATTTCAGATACTATATCTATGTTAAATATTTGAACTTGAGTGGGAAGAGTTCTATGTCTAGTTCAAATAGTTATCCAAGATGGCTTGTCTTCTGGTTGGACTCGCCATTTTTTGTACATTTTCAGGGTATAGGATTCAGGATTTCAGTTAACAGGTGGACTCATTTGAACAAGTATTTTAATGATCCAAATGCAAGGTTGCACATCTAGAAATAAAGCCATAGATTGCACAATATGGGAGACTGTATCTTGGAATGCAGCGATACTAAAAAGGACTTGGTGGTCATGGTCGATAACCAACTGATGGTGAGCTGTCAGTGATTTGCTGTAGCTAAGAGGGCGAACATGACTGAGGGATACATAAGTAGCAGAATATCAAATATGAATAGGGAGATGGTATTATCCCTTCAGACAGCATTTGTGAGACCATTATTGGAGTTCTATGTTCAGGTCTTGGTGTCCACACCGCAAACGATGTTAAAAATTTGGAACGGGTACAGAGAGAGCTATAAGAATGATATTTAGTTTTAAATTAAGATTTAATTTTAAACAGGTTTATTTTTAAAAGAAAAACTTATTTAAATTAAAAACTAATTTTTTTTCCAAAAAAATCATCAATTTTTATCCACTCTGGCTGTTGGTGATAGGAAAAATAAATACAAATATTTTCTTCTTGCAAATCATCTGTTTTCTTCATGATTATTCCCACTGGAGTTACAGGATGGAATATTTTAGTTCTTCTTTGAGTGTTGTCCCTATGGGTGCTCCACTGAAGAATCTGAGTGCTCCACTGTAGGTGCAGCAGCTTCCCCTGGGCCTGGGATTGGAGATCTTCATCAACAGTGTCTGTTGGACTGCATATGCACACCTCCCCGTCTTGTGCTGTGAGCGGGACGTATATATAGCGCGGTGCAGTCTGACCGCCCCCCAGTTCCTTCACTACCGCCTTTGGTCTGGGATGGAATCCGCAGCAGAGCCTGCTTCTCCTTTTTGACCCTTTAGATAGTGCCTTACCTGTTAGGTTTAGTTTAGTAATTTCTTCTTCTTGCCTCTGTATCCCCTCCCTCCCCCACCCACCCTCTCAAAAAATAATTGTTTTCACTTTACCCTACTCATTACTTCATAGCTTAGGTTTTCATTTCTCTCTTTCCTGACCTGGAAGCTTTTTCCCCCCTCATCCTTATGCCCAGATCTCCTGGGTTCAAGAGGTGAGTGTCTTGCTGGGTTGCCTTCCCAATAACAGACAGCCCCCACAGTGCGTTCACTGTCTGGTAGAGGGACGCATCCCACAAAAGTGTTCCCACTACCACAATTTGACTGCCAGAACCAGAAAAGACTGGGACATTTGGTTATGACTTCTCATGGAGAAAGCACTCCGTCAAGAATCAGACCTGGGCCTGGACTCTCCCACTGTTCAGCTTTCCCTGCTCTGCAAGTTCATCTGCTGATCCTCATCTCCCACATCCCTATAAGAGAGAGTCATCTCTTTCCCACTTTGATGATAAGAAATAGGATCCCTCATCAATCCCTGAGACACTACCTACTAGAAAATCATCCCCTGCGAGGTCAGATGCCTCAGCGTTCTCCGACAGGGGACATAGCTCCAGGGCCCTTCAGAGTACGTGAATGAAACAACGGGCAAAGATCCTAACCAGGCAGACATACAGCCCTCTGTACTGAGCAGTTCTTCAGCTCCACCTGCTGGCTGCTCAGGAGAAGGCATCTTTCTTGGCATCGATTCATACACCGGTACCGATTATGCTCCTACCTCCTCCTCAGGAATTCAAATACCCTAAAGACCTACTTGTATCTGACATGCCTGAGTCACCATTACTCAAATATGACCTCCCCCCACTTCCACCTTCTTCTCCAGACTCACAATGTTCTTCCCTTTCTTCTTTGAGGATGGCACCCTCCTTCCTCAGTGACAACAAGGAAGAAGAGGAGGAGGAGTGCTCCATCACTCCTTCTTACTCGAGATAGGAGCAAACAACTTCCTCTACACATCCTCACTATTAAAAATCTACACCTGAACCAGAACTCTGGTATAGACACCGTGGATGCAGCCCCATGTTCCACTCTCTTCGCATTGGCCAAACTGGGACTCCAAGCCATTTACAAAAGCCCAGGTTGAGAAGCCTCTCAGGGAGCAAAGCTGGAGACCTATACCTTTGCTTTCTCCACCAGTTTCTCGTCCACCAGAGACTGAGCCTCTCCCTACAGCGGATGAGGAGGAAGAACAAGAGGAGGAAATTCCACCACCATTCCACTTCTTCCCCTGATGAGGCTATCATGCCTCTCTCTTCCCCTCTCCCCAACCACAGCTTACATCTTCAAACATTTCCAGGAGCTATTTCTCAGGATTGCAGTCTCCCTCCCCAGTCCTTTGGAGGAGATGAAGGATCAACAACACAAGCTGCTCAACATCCTGCACACATCCTCCTCCTCCAAAATAGCCCTTCCTATCAATGAGGCCCTTCTCAATCTTGCCAAGGTTCTCTGGCAGACCCCAGCATCTATCCCACCAATTCACCCCACCCCAAATTCCTTGGTTCCTATGCCAGAAAAAGGACACCAATACCAATCTCGACTTGCGCACCGTGCTAGAGACTGGAAACAATTGGACTTGTTCAGTCATAAATCTTATTCATCTGCTACTCTCCAATTCTGTATATCCAATTATGAGGCACTCATGGCTACGTATAATTACATCAACTATTCTAAAATACAGGAACTCTATCAAGACCTTCCTGATGACAATAAAGAACAACTTCAGGCACTCATAGCTGAAGGACAGCTTTTGGCCCACACAACTCTGCAAGCCTCTTTAGATGCTGCAGATACCGCTGTCTGCTCCATTGCAACTGCCGTTGTAATGAGACGGACGTCATGGCTGCACTTCTCGGGCTTTCCTAAAGAGGTACAAACCACCACTGAAGGCCTACCCTTTAAGGGCCCCAAAATATTCAAGCAGAGTACGTATGATTCCCTTCACTTGCTTAAGGACTCCCAAGCAACCCTCCACTCTCTGGGCATTTACACTGCAGGGCCAAAGAGACGCCTGAGAAAGTACCAACTTCTTCCAGGATCCCAACCACCGTAATACACTCCCCAGCGACAGTATGATACCCAAAGTCGTTGATAGAAGCCCCCTACCAAATGCAGACATACAACTCCACAGGGAGCTACTTGTCACGCACCTCCACCCAAACAGCTATTTTGGAAGTGTGGTTGATGTGACGGGGTTCCCGGAGTGCAACCTAAACTCTGGGACCGCTGAGCCCCTCTTCTGTGATGCAGTTGGCAAGCTACAAACCTCTGGCAGGTACTGCACAGACATCCACAGGCATGGACACAACCAACTGAGTTACATGAATGTTTCTCCCAGCCATTCATGAATCAACAATAGAGAGGCTCCAGCCAATTCCCCCCAGCATTGCACCTCAGAACTATACCATCTTGCCCTGGTCAGAAGCCTAACTAGTGTAAGTTCATTGCCCAATCTGCCCTCCCTCGAAGTGGAGAAGACATACACTAGCTGTGGTAAACTGAGCTGAGATTTCCGAAGCACTTCAACCAAAGTACACTGTTTTAAGTAAAATATAAAACATATTTATTAATTACAGAAAGCTAGATTTTTAGTGATAAGTAATAAGCCTAGAGATCAAAGTTGGATCTAAGAAATAAAAGTATATTTGCAATCTGAGTTCTATAAACTAAACAGGATTTGAATCAAGCAGTATCTCACTCTGATAGATGGTACAAACAGGTCACAAATTTTCAATACCCACGCTGGAACTCTCCTCCAGCCCAGGGCCACCCTCGCCAGTTCAGTCTTTGTCCCTATACCATTACTCAGGACGTCTCAGCAGATTGTGTCCGATCATCTGCAGTAAATACCGCTCCGAAGCCCCAGCCTTCCAATTAGGGGCCCTGTTTCTAGTCACCTACAGTGGAGCACCCAGAGGGACATCAATTGAGGAAGAAGAGCAGATTACTCCCCCTGTGTAGTAACTAAGCTTCTTCAAGATGTGTCCCTTTGAGTGCTCCACTACCCACCCTCCTCCCCTCTGCAGCAGAGCTGAAACATTAGCTCTGCTGCAGAGAAGAAACTGGGGGCAGTCGGACCACACAGCGCTATATATACATCCCGCTCATGGCGCGAGATGGGAGGTGTGCATGTGCAATCTGATGGGCACTGCTGATGAAGATCTCTGATCCAGGTGCACAGGGTGCTGCCGTATCTACAATGGAGCACCCATAGGGGGTCATATTTTGAAGAACCTTGATTATTGCACAGGGTGAGTAACCGTCTCTTTTGTGGAAGCTTCTATTCTAGCCTTTCCCCAAAAAAACTTTGTTTGGGTTTTTTAATTAAAGCCTAACAAAAATCAGGGTTAATCCTAAAATCTCTTTTAGGCCCCTTTGAAAATCCCTGCCTTACTTCTTATCTCAAGTATCCTAGGGAAACAATATTTTTTGCCTTAGTTAATGCTGCACTGGAATAATCACAGGAAGCTTTGAGAAATCTGTCCTGCTTCTGTAATCTGTTTACACTGATAAAAATCCTGAAGTAAAATGATCCTATTCCACTGCTAACTTCCTTCCCAGTTCTCCCTCTGCCTCTCTTACCTGGACATTCATTTCCAGCCCACCTGCAATTTTCCTGCTTTTCTGCCACTTGCTCTTTCATTCCCCTGAAACTCCTCTTCTGTTTTTATTGCAACATTTACTAGATGGTGAACTGGTTTCAGCAACTCTGCTTTGTGTGGTTCTTTACATTTCCTCATTATCCTGGTGTGGGGTTTTTTTTGGTAACTCTTATCATGAGGCCTCTGTCCCTTGTCCCTTTTCCTGTAGGTTTTTAAAGATGAGCATATTTTAAATACGTTTTTCTAAACTCTGTTTTAATTCTTGTAATTATGTGTTGTTACATGTTCAAAGTCATGGTTCCTATTTCTGTAACGTAATCTAAATAAAGTATCTCAGCACTATCTCTTTCACATCACTGGTTTGGTATTTTTTGTTTAAATTAACGAGAATTTGGCTAATACATCACATTGGCACTCCTGAAAATCTAACCCTTTATTTTATATGAAACATTTTCTTTTTTTCCCCTCTTATTTGGTTCCTTCAAGGGCATTTATTTGCTGGGCAGTTAATTGCAATAATCATTCTATAATTTTCCTTTTGTGTCTTTAAACATTTTTTCACTCCATACTGCATCATCATCTAGTGATGCAATAAGACTGGGCATGATCAGTGGAATTTCCTGACCAACTACTGCTAAAGACTTTGAAGTCTTTTAGAATACACATAACAAAAGTACCAAATTTTGGATAGTTATTAAAATGCACAGAAATGTCTCATATCTTGCCCTTATTAAAATACATGCCTGCTGTAAAAATATTTGTTGTAGTTGTACAGCTTCATACATTTTTAACCATTGTGTGTGGAATTAAATTTTTCTAACCCTCTGTAGCAGTTGCCAAGCCAAACTTGCCTGTGCCATGAAAATTTTGTACAAGACCTTACAATCCCCTAATGAGTAGTTTTGTACTATTTTTTCCACAGTGAACATTCAGGTGGAGTGTGTGTATGTACATATAATTATACCATATAAATTAATTCCACCTATGTTTTCATTACAGCCAGAAGAACTAAGAGAAATCATAGAGAAGACCAGAGAGATGGAACAGAACAATGGCCACTACTTTGACACTGCGATTGTGAATTCTGATCTTGATAAGGCATATCAGGAGCTACTTCGTTTAATAAACAAACTTGACACGGAACCTCAGTGGGTGCCATCCACCTGGTTACGGTGAAAAAGAACAGTTTAAAGGGACAAGCAGATTTCTATCCAGCAGTCTGTCAAAGGGAGATTGCACACGAATCAATACAACTTAAATATTAGGTGGCAGAGTGAACTCTAGACCTCTGTAGGTGCACCCCTTGATAGTTGATGTATTAGTGAAAAAAATCCAGTAGGCAGTTCATGAACAGAATGATATACTGATTAAAGATTGGGTTTTCTTCTCTTTGGACTAGAAATGGAAGCTCTGAACAAGCCAGTACACTTTTTAACAATTTAACTAGCCTTTCTAGCAGCTGCTTCACCTTTTCTATCTACAATCACCTTTCTTTAAAAACTAAAGATTTTAAATGTATGTATATATACAGTCCATGTCGCATAGTTATAAATATTATTATTATTTAACACTGTTAACTTAATGACTTGTGGGACATGATAGTAGTTTGTGAATATACCTTTTACAAAAACACTGGGCAGAGAAATAATCTACATGAGACACTAAAGTTTATGAGAAATTCTCCCCTTTTAAAAATACACAGAATAAGGTGCCGCTTTGGTCTGAAGCTGCCTGGTTAGGCTTGAATTTATTTTTTTAATTATTTACATTCCACTTTCTGAGAGCACTGTAATTTGGAAAATGTGTATAATGTAAATATTTCAACCCTTTGTGTCTTTTTAGTCAGACTTTGTAAATCAGATTTAACTGCACATTAACCGTAGGTCCAATGAAAAAGGAATATTTACTGATCTTTCAGATGTGATATTTTTATGGAATTTTGTTTTTCTTTAAAGCTTATCAGTTGATTTGGGAGCCATTGCTCCCCACAGATTTGTAGAGATGTTTAGAAGGCAGAGGTTATATTTTTATTAAAAAAAAAGACATTCTTATAAAACATGCAGATTAAAAAAAAATTCTTCCTGATAATGTAAACAGTTCTTATGTTTATAACATAAAGAATACTGTCTGAATGGGCAGTTGTGATTAGTGTCTTTTTATTTTTGGCCCTGGTATGTCTTGTGGCTAATGGTCCTCTAGGTAACTAACTGGAATTAAAACTGCTGAATGTAGCTACTGTAAGTAAACCAATAACCTTAGGGAAAGAACTTGAGAAATGGAAACATATGTATTGCCAGGTATATATCCTAGCATGTTCTGCCATCCAAGTTCAGCATGTCCCTACAGACTAGCCTGAGTTGTGCAGCTGTCAAATCTGCAGCAGAGCTATTCCAAGCATTGAAATGAAATAATGTTACCTTTAGCTTTTATTTGTTCATGCTTCCCCCCCAAAACAATCTTGAATGTGAATGTTGATTCTCTTCTTGTTTAGCCAGAGTGTTTCCTTGTTCCCACAGTTAAACACTGGAGTTATGTCAATGTGTAGCTGAATTCAATGCAACAGTGAGAAATGAAGTTAGTTTTTCAGTCTTGTGTATATAATTTCTTCAAAGAACAAATCCAGGCAAAACTCTTTTGCCTTCTGTGTGGCCATAGCTGAATGAAGAGCTCTAAGCTACATAGAGAATGAGTATAGTGTGAAACGGTTGTTTTAAATCACTTTTAGTAAACTAACATTCCTGTATTGCAGGGTGAAATATAGTACAATCTCTGTCTGCAGTTAACCTAGAAGACCCCCAGCAAGTTGGTTGCCTATGGAAAGATGTTATATGCTGTTCAGTTGGGTTTTAGAACCGTGGTACATAGTATGTTGGTGAACATGCTATGAGTGAGAGAAGAATCATAAGGTCCATTCACTGACATACCTCCAGCGAGGCAGGTGTTGGAAGACTTAAATGACACTGAAATGAACTGCACATCATGTTTAGGCCAACAGCTAGAATGTTACTAAATTAGCTTCTGGGTAAAGTATTCAAAGTAGTGGCTCCCTGCCTCACATTGCACATGCATTTAACTCTTGAGTTTTGTAGCTGTCTCACAGCAGACTAAGGTGCTGGGAGGCTACAGCATTATCCATCAATTCTGCCCTTCCAAGTTCAGCAACTTTTTTTTTTTTACACAAAACCTAAGAGATGTAATCTACAGTCAGTTGAGAAAGTGAAAAGTTGTTAAAGTGCAATCTTTAGAGAGGCATCTTTAAAGGTGTCACAGGTGAATTATCAAAATTTCACTCTATTATTGAACCCTCACACATTCAATGTTACATTCTGTTGTCATTAAATAATGCTGTGAATGCTGGTAAATCTCACCCCCTTTTCTCTCCTACCCTACCCCTGAATTTCCTCAGATGGCTGAAGCCTTTGGAATGCAGTAGGTTTATAGTAGGTTGTGAGATGTTTAACTGTACCCTCTCTGTTTTTGAAATATGAGGGGGGTGTTGTGGTATTTCAGAGAGATCCATTTATGGAAGTGAAATGATCAAGACCATAGGAGTCAGTGTTGGCTTTGTATGCAATTATGTGGGCATGCTGGAGCAGCACTGAGGAACAGACCAGGCTTGCTGAGCTCTGTATCTGGCACCAGTTTTAGAGTCTGACCCTGAATTGCCTGAACATGGAGTAAGCAGGAAATCATTTTCTACCATTTTGTCATGACGGAAGAGTGTCTCTTCAGTCCCCTCTGGGGGTAAAAGGATGAAACAGACTGGATTATTGGAAGAAAACACTAGGCATTGTCACCTAATAGCCAGCTGAAAGGGGAAGGTATCTTCATTTTTATCAATCCAGATTTATTGGAAAAATGGTTTCATCATCTGAATTAACAAATATTAACAAGGATTATGAATAGTTGTATAATATGATGTGGCCTTGACAACTAAGAACTTTACTGTGACCTGTGGTTAGCCCCAACTTGTATGTCTGTATCATGTATCTGCACTCTGTATTTGGAGACCTCATGAACTGCACACTGTAAAAAATGTAAGATATTTAGACAAAATAAATCACTACAATTTTTATCTGACATAGCTACTCTTGAAATCATTTGCTTATATGCTTGCTGAGCAATGGCAGAAAGGCTGCTTTGGGGTTGGTGAACATAAGTGTTTCAATTGAAGAGTTCATTCTTCTGTAATTTTTTTAAAAAGCACTAAGTGCCCCTTAAGCTCAAAATAAATACCCTAAGTGGCTTACTATGTGGGCATAGCTCAGGGGTATGCATGTAGCTGATAAGGAAGACTGCAAATTAGGGCTGTGCTCATAGTCAAGTGGGAATTGAAGCCCAGCAGCAGCCTTACACCCCTGCAGAGCTCTAGCTGTAATCCTGTACAGTACCACACCCTGGAGAAGACTGAGGACAATCCTGCTCCCAACTAACAAACTCCTGCATTCCAAACTTAAGAAACTCCATAAATATTGCCTTTGTGCATATATTGTACACGTTTGACCCCTCAACAGCAGAAGAATAATAGGACTGGCCTATTGATTGTTTTTGCCTTGTCTGTCTACACTTAACACAACAGGGACTTCAGAGCCTAGATCACGCTGCTCAGAAAACAGCTTTGCCATTTCAGTCAAGGTTAAACTTGAATGTGATCCACAGCACTTATCCCCCTTCATGATCACCTCAAGAGAGAAGCAAAGGATCCAGTGGGCATGGAGACAGCACAGGAAATGGTCCCCTCTGGTTCAGGATTAAGGTACATTTGCTATGGGCAAAGCTTGCACTGTTACTGAGCCCACTATGCCACAGTTTCCAGGGTCGTGAAAGTAGCAACTTTGTCTCCTACTTAGCAAAACCTTAGAGTGGACACCAGACAGTAACATTTAAAATGATTTTACTATCATACAGCACAGACATTAATTTTCTCCCACAGTTACACAAAATGGAAGATGTCTTCCAGGCAAGTGGTAATAAGTGTGTGGATTTCTGCAACAAGGTTAGCCTGAACAATCTAGCTTTTCTATCATTAATAGTTTGCAAGTTAATTGTAGCAACACCTACTTTCAGGTGTTAACATGCACATAGGTTTTTTTTCCCCTCCCTTACAAGGAGGGTATGATTGCTATAAATACATCCTTAAACAGCAGTACAGATTCAGTAGCCAAACAGATGGTAGTAGATTGGTGTAAGGGAGACAGTCTTGCTACTGCCAAAGAGACCAGACTCTTGCTAGTCTCCTTTTTCTGCTTCCACACCCCACCAAAAAAAGCCCCCAGAGTTCTCATCTTGGGAAAAACCACAACCAATGGAGCTCACAGGCTAATACACCAAATGAAGAGCCACAAGTGTCCAGAATTACATCAGTTAACACACTGCCATCTAGGTCTCCCTCTCCAACAGAGCTACTCGAAGAGGAGGTCTTCATCCTTCTCTTCTGCTAGGAGATTGGCAGGTTCATGTTCCGCCCCAGCAGCTTTCCGTAAGGCCCGCTCTATCTCATTCTTTTCTTTCAATATTTTTTTCTTCTCCTGGATCTTCTTTAACCTGCAGTGAGAGAATTGGGGTGATATTTAATGTCTGCATTGATGGTACCTCTTTGTAAGATGTGTTCCAACAGTTAGGCTTTTCCATAAGTCCTCTGGGAAAGGCAGCTGATGCAATACACTTGTAGGTACAGCAAGATGATCTCTGGGCCCCATATGCTGAACTGTTAAAAAAAAATCTGTCTGAAGATCCCTCAATTCCTACTCCAGCAAAAGAGGCACCTGACCTGTATACACTTGGCATTCTATAGGTATGTTACTCTGGAGTGAACTAGTTCAACCTGCATACAGTTTACTCCTTACTTTCCTATTCTTAGCTTGAACCTTAGCTCTGAACTGAGCAACTGGCTTCAACTACCCTCCAATTTTTTAAGCCACAATCACAACCTTAAAACCTCTTCCAAAAAAAAAAAAAAATACGACCCCCCCCCAGCAAGAAAGAGACCAGGTTCTTTTAACCTTTCCTCAAACTACAGCTTCTTGGCACCAGGTCACCTGCCTCTAACAGGCAATTTCCTTCCCATGGCACAAAGCCCAGGACTACACCCACAATTACAGATTCAGCTTAACAAGAGTCTTATTACCCCACAAAGAGTAGGCCATCCCTCTGCCACCGAAAGAGTGGACTGATTGGGATGTGGCTTGGAGAACCTCTGAACCCTCCCACAGTGACTGGAGAAAAATCTATCCATGACACCTGTTGGGATTCATGGGAGAACAAGTTAGCACAAGGAAAGAATAAAGGTGCAAAGGAACAGAAATCCAGAAAGAGCAAGCATGAGACAGGTAGAGCCTTTTTAGAAGTTCGTTATTTGAGAAAGCTTAATGCTAAATAATAAAAGTAAATAGAAATTAGTACAATAGATGGATAAGACAGATTCCTTTAATCTGAATTTCACATAGGACAGAAAGATGTTCATGTTTAGCCGTGCCTCCTTTAACCTGGTACTAATGTCCTCCCACCTTAAACTTGACCTTCCCAAGATTCTCTCACCACAACCCTTGAAAGTGTGCAGAATCATACATCAAAAACACTCTGGACCAGTATTTTTCTAGTTTGCATCTTGGTCCCTTAAACAAGAGGGTTTTCACACTTGTGTGGTGAACACATCTAATAGCACAAGATCAGAGTGCGGATCAACCTCCACTCCCCCATTCACAATTGCACAGGCCATTTCTCCCCCACCCCCCATTGTGATTGCATCACATCCTTGGGGCACCTACAGCAATTACTCTCAAGGGAAAACGTTAGGAAGTGTTTTTTAAAGTTTTCACCAGACTATCTTTTTGAAAGAATCACACCGACACCTGCTCTGTTTCTGTCAGCTGGAAGCAAGGAAAGCCCCATTTTGCTTAAGGTTTGATTTTAGTGGCTCCATCAGTTCTCTTGTCAAGGCTCTGGAAACAGCATACACAGGAGCAGCCACACCAGCTAGGGAGGGTGGCCGAGAGCAACAAACTCCCATGGCATCTGAGAGGAGAGGGGAACTAGATCTACAGAACAGGTACTTAAGGTAGGACGTTCAGCATACACTGCAGTGCTCCACCATTCCCTCCAAAAGGCCTCTGCACAGGATGTCAAGGACCGCACAGCATAGTGGCTGAGGTTTACTCCCCTCTATGAGGGAAGTGGCTGTGAACCTGTGCTTGGACAGCACTGGATAGTTTCTAAAAGCAGAACATCAATAGTTTAGCCTACTGCACAGTTCTCCTCCTCTACCCCATCACTATTTCTGTGTCTCAAAAGAGTCAATTTGTGAGAAGAAAGGGAGGGGGCCAGCACAACCTCCTCCATTCACATCCCTTACCTGTAGAACTCCTCTCGCTCTCTCTCATCCAGCTCTGTGATGATGTAGGACAGTGTGCGCTCAATCCTGGGAATAATCACTAAGACATACAAATAATCACTACCATATTAATCATGCACAAACAGCCTGTACAGTGAGGAGAGATCACATACATTCAAAGTCAGCCCAGTGATCTGACTGTCAGAGTTTAAATGCCTCCCTTATTTTGACAAAGAACTGCAGTGTTTCATTAAGAGCGAGTAACCCACAACACACTTTTCTTTAACAGGGCTCAGCATTTCATAACCTGCACCAATAATTCAACGGAACCAGCTTGCACTGGCTTCCAATGGAGGTTGAATGGGGAGAACTAAGTAGTGAAATCAGTAAGTTTATTTTTTTGTGGACAACTTTTTTCCCCCATGTCCAACAAACTTTTCATTCCACAGTTTCACGTCCTTGTCCTACAATAATGAGACAATGATTTGCTTTCTTTCTACATCCATACAATCTTATACTGTGATCTCCTCAGATGAGGCTGAAAAAGGCCAGGCCTGGTGTCAGCCTTCACATGGGAGACCTGCAAGACCATCCCAGTTCTGTAGGTACGGAACCAATATCCCTGAGAGTGGAGTACTGTGCTGCCATAGGTGTTCTCTCTTGGATAAGGTGTAACAAGATTTTTGACCACTAACGTCCTGAACTCTTGGAGGTCAAAGTCCCAGGCCATTTCCATAACAATGAAGGTCTTAACCCCAGCGTATTGGCCAAATTTCAATTTTAGAAACTATTTTTCTGCCATATGTTCTTCTACCACAGGTTCTTTCACCAGTTTGTTGGATGTGACTTTTCTACCCACTACTTCCTGAATGGTTGCATAGCACTATTGCGCAAAGTTAAACTTTGGAGTGCCATGTTTAAGTTGTGCATGATAAGATCCCTAGTTTATAAAATGCTTTGGACTCCTTTCTGGATGAAGGGTGCTATAAATTTAAGTGTTGTGCAATATCTTTCATACAAATTGTATGCCGACAGATACGTCAGACAGTATGTGGTGCAGCAGCATGGTATGGCAAATTAAATTCAGTCATAAGGACAAGAGCAGGAGACGACATTTTCAGCACAGCTTTGACATGAGAGCTAGTCAATTCTGAAAGACTACTGCCAACAATAGGATCTGCAAAGGAGAAGGCTCTCACAAACAAACAGTGTCGAGCTTGTTTGGAAGATCAGGGAGGAGGCCACTGCTAAGTGAGTGAGTAGTGAGGGGAAGAAAAGACATGACCTCTAAATTTGATGGAGCAAGTCCATGGAAAGCTGCATTGCTTAACAAGGGGGACAATTTAGAATTGAATCCTGAAGCAAGCAGTGCAGCAAAGGAGTTGAGGATGGAGTTCAACGTCATGCTTCTTTGTGTATCTGAAAAGGCAAAAAGTCTGAAGAGCTGGGTCTTGAGGAGGTCTTTGAAATAATCTAAGTAGCAGGAGGTTAAAACTGGATGGCTTAGTAGAGGGACCTGCAGCAGGGTTATATACTGGCAACACAGCAGAATGACAAAAGACAGATTTGCCACCATCAAGAACAGGAAGGACAAGGAGTTCGGGGCCAGGGATGACACCAAAGGCAAATGAGAGATAGGAGTTATGCACTAGCATGGAAGATATGAAATTGTGTTTGAAGACATGACTTTCCTAGGAGAAGCACAATCTACCTAAAGCTTTTCTACAGTACTCATTACCCTGTACATCAG